GTGAGGAATTAAGGGCGGTGTACCACTACCGCCCAGCTGTAAATAGTTTTTAAAGTAATGTTTTTTTGGTTTTTTAGGTTCTTTTTTTTTTGTATTGTCTTTTGAAAACAAGATTTAAAAAGTGACCCTTGCCAGGAAGAAGCCCCGAATCCCCTACACTGTCCTCTGTTGTCCCTCTTTCCATTTCTACTGTCCTATCTAAGAACCACTCCCAACACTCACTCTGAGAAGGAAGCTGGGGAAGTGGTGGTGGTGTTGTTTGTTTGTTTTTTCTTATCAGAGATGGGTTTATTGGTTGAAATAAACTTTATTTTATTTTTTTAATTAACTAATTAATTTCTCCCAGCCCGATTACAGTTTCCCCTCCTTCCTGCTCTCCTCCCAGTCCCTTCCCCCAACCTCTCCCCTCCCCTATCCACTCCTCTTTTTTCTTCAGAAGAGGGCAGGCCTCCCTTGTATACCAGGCAGCCATGGCATACCAAGTTGCAGTGAGACTAGGCACCTCCTCTCCTGTTAAGGCTAGAGGAGACCACCCAGTAGGAGGGAAGGGTCCCCAAAGCAGGTAACTGAGTCAGAGACAGTCTCTGCTCCCACTGCTAGAAGTCCCACAAGAAGAGCAAGCTGCACAACTGTCACATGTGCAGAGGACTTGGGTCAGCCCACACAAGTTCTCTGGTGGGCAGTTCAGTCTCTGTGAGCCCAAGTTAGAGTCTGTGGGTTTTCTTGTGGTACCCTTGACCCCTCTGGCTCTCACAATCCTTCCTCCTCCTCTTCCGCAGGATTCCCGAGCTCTGCCTAATGTTTGGCTGTGGTTTTCTGCATCTGTTCCTATTGGTTGCTGGATGAAGCCTCTCTGATGACAATTGGGCTACACCACAATCTATGAGGATAGCAGAGTGTCATTAGGAATCACTTCAAAATTACCTTTATTTTTTGGCCAGTCATGTTTGCTTCTATCCTAGGGCTCTGGGCTGTCTAGCCTCTGAGTTCTGGCCCTGAAGGCAGTGTCAGGGGTGGGCTCCCTCCCATGGTATGAACCTTAAGCTGGACCAATCATTGGTTGGCCACTGCCATAATTCCTGCACTACCTTTACCCCAGCGTATCTTGAAAGCAAGGCAAAGTATAGGTCAAAGATTATGTGACTGGGTTGAGGGTCTCAATCCCTCCATTGAAATACTTGCCTGGCTACAGGAGATGGCTGGTTCAGGCTCTGTTTCCCATTGCTAGGCATCTTAGCCAGGGGTCACCTTTATAGATTCCTGGGAGTTTGTATTGCACTAGGTTTCTAACTCATCCCAAAGATCCCCTGATTCCACTTATCTCTCCCAATACTCCCTCTCCATCTTCCCCCAACCTGATCTCTCCTGTTCCCATGCCCACACCCCCACAACTATCCTCCCCGCTCCACCTGTGACGTTTACTCTATTTCCCCTTTACAGTGCCCTCTCTTGAGTCCTCCCTTGTTACTTAGCTTCTTTATGTCTATGGATTGTAGCATGGTTATCCTTTATGACTAATATCCACCTATAAGTGAGTACATATCATGTTTGTCTTTCTGGATCTGAGTTATTTCACTCATGATCATGTTTTGTAGTTCCATCCATTTGCCGGCAAATTTCATGATGTCATTGTTTTTAACAGCTGAGTAACACTCCAGTGTCTAAATGTACCACTTTTTTTTTTAAAATCCATTCTTCAGTTGATGGACATCTAGGTTGTTTCTAGTTTCTGGCTATTAGAAATAAAGTTGCTATGAACATAGTTGAGCAGGTGTTCTTGTGGTATAGCATCCTTTGGGTATATGCACAGGAGTGGATAGCTGGGTCTTGAGATAGGTCAATTCCCAATTTTCTGAGAAACTGCCATAGTGATTTCCAAGGTAGCTGTACAAGTTTGCATTCATTCCCACCAGCAATGGAGGCGTGTTCCCCTTGCTCCACATTCTCACCAGCATGAGCTGTCACTTGTGTTTTTGATCTTAGCCATTCTGACAGGGATAAGATGGAATCTCAGAGTCATTTTGATTTGTATTTTCCTGGCTAGGGATGTTGAACATTTAAGTGTTCCTTGACCATTTGAGATTCCTCTGTTGAGAATTCACTGTTTAGATCTGTACCCTGTTTTTGAATTACTGGATTTGGGCTATTGGAATTGAATTATTTGGTTTGTTGATGTCTAGTTTCTTGAGTTCTTTGTGTATTTTGGAAATCAATTTTCTGTGAGATGTGGAGTTGGTGAAGATCTTTTCTCATTCTGTAGGCTGCCATTTTGTCCTTTTGATGGTGTCCTTTGCCTTAAAGAAGCTTTTCAGTTTCATGAGGTCCCATTTATTAATTGTACATCTTAGTGCCTGCACTATTAGTGTTCTGTTCAGGAAGTTTTCTCCCATGCCAGTGATTTCAAGGCTATTCCCCACTTTCTCTTCTATCAGGTTCAGTGTGTCTGGTTTTATGTTGAGGTCTTAGATCCACTTGGACTTGAGTTTTGTGCAGGGTGATAGGTACAGATCTATTTGCATTCTTCTACATGCTGACATCCAGTTATACCAGCACCATTTGTTGAAGATGCTTTCTTTTTTAAAACCATTATATATTTCTGGCTTCTTTATCAAAAGTCAAGTGTCCATAGGTATGAGGATTTGTGTCTGGATCTTCAATTCAGTTCCATTAATCAACCTGTCTCTTTTTATGCCAATACTATGTGAATTTTATTACTATTGCTCAGTAGAACAGCTTGACATCAGAGAGGATGGTGATAGCTCCAGAAGTTCTTTTATTTTACGGGGTTGTTTTGGCTATCCTGGGTGTTTTGATTTTCCATATGAAGTTGAGTATTGCTCTTTCAAGTTCTGTAAAGAAATGTGTTGGAATTTTGATGGGAATTTTCTTGAATCTTTAGATTGCTTTTGGTAAGATGGCCATTTTTACTATGTTAATCCTACCAATTCATGAACATGGGAGATCTTTCCATCTTCTAATATTTTTTTCAATTTCTTTCTTCAAAGACTTGAAGTTTTTGCCAAACAGGTCTTTCATTTGCTTGGTTAGAGTTACACCAAGGTATTTTATATTATTTGTGGCTATTGGGAAGGGTGTTGTTTCTTTAATTTTTTTTTCTCAGCCCATTTATTGTTGGTATATAGGAGGGCTACTGATTTTTTTTTTTTTTGAGTTTACTTTGAATCCAGCCACTTCACCGAATCAGCTGGAGAAGTTCCCTTGTAGAATTTTTGGGGTCACTTATGTACACTATCATGTTTGTTTCTTACTAAGCTTAGAGTGAAGAGAAAAGATGGCTAATACACACCTGAAGTCCCTGCGGCAGACAGAGCATGACGGAGTAGGCAAAAGCATGTGCTTAGGGCCCTTGCTTGTGAAAGGCGGGACAGATCTGTACGTGTCTCTGGATCAGGAACACAACACTATTGTGTCACTTCCTTTTCTGCCTAAGTCTTGGCATTAAAGTATTTGTCTGTCCCTCCAGACAGAAGTCCAGTGTATCTTTGGTGGTCTGTCACACCAGGTGTGTGTGCAGGCGCATGTACGCGTATACATGTGGGCACCTATGAAGGTCAGAAGAGGGCACTGGATCCCCGGAAATGGAAGTATAGGCAGGTATAAGCCGTGTGATGTAGGTGCTGGGAACAGAACTTTTGATTCTTTGCAAGAACAGATGCTCTGAACTCCCTCTCCAGCTCCACATACTAGATTTCTTTTTTTTAAAATGGATTATAGCTGTTTATTTTTTTCAATTGTGATAAAATATAAATAACATAAAATTTACTATTTTTAGCTATCTTTCAGGGTTCATTCATTCTACCATTTGATTTTTAAAATTCTTATTCCTATAAGTTCTGGCTACCATATACTTAATGAGGATCATCTCTTGCCCTGTGCTGAGGCTGGTAGATCATTGGATAATTATGAAAGAAGTGTAAATATGGCCCCTGCTCTCAGGACCACTGATCTTAATCTCAAGGAGATTAAGCCTCATTAGGGAAGCATGATGTATGTTCACCAGTCAGATAATGATTCGTGGCACGTAAGCCCTGCAGTGTTCAAGGAAAGCTTTGTGTAAAAGTGACACCCAGCTTTACCGGGGCAGCCTGTCCAAACTGCAGAAAGGAGGAAGTCAGGGATTTGGGGAACTAAGATACTCTGTCAGCTGTTCAGTGTTAAGTCTATCATTTTCCAGAGAATCTTGTTTTTCTAGGTTAGAGCATTTAGGTGTATTATTTGTGAAATAAGCTGAATATCCTAACAATGGAACATGTTATTGACACGTAATTTATATTTTTGAAAGTCACAGAAACGAAATATTTAACTTGTGATATAAACACATATTAAAAATCCAGATCAGGGTTGGAGAGTTGGCTCAATGGTTAAGAACACTTGGTGTTCTTGAAGAGGACCCAGTTTCAGTCCCTACTACCTACAGAATGGCTCACAACTGTCTGTAACTCCAGTTCTGGGGGATCCAAATCCCTTTTCCAGCATCTACAGACATCAGCACACACAGGATGTACATACATACTTAGAGACAAAACAAAAAATAAAAATTTTAAAAATCTAGATTATCCAGTGTCAGCAGGGTTAAACTTATTATAATTCTATGTAAATGTCCCTGTTCATAGGGCATTAACCCTTTTGATGCATTATCATGTGAGAATAGGTATTTCATTAGTGAATTTAGCTCAGTTGCAATTAGAGTTTTCATGTAAAAGTATTGTATAAAAATCACGTAATGAAACACTTATTTATTGAAACTTGAATGTCTGTTTCTCTGAAATCTGGTAACAAGTTGAGAGTGCCATGTATTGTATGCATAATTCTGAGTATGGGTAGAGGCTGCAATGATGAGTGGCAAAAGATGGTGCCTGTTTTGTTACCATGTATCTATAATGGGTCAGAGAGTTCATCTGGACAGTACAGTGCCTTCCAACAAGTACCACAAAGTAAACGTCATCTTCTTCTTCTTCTTTCTCCCCTCATTTCTGCAGGCAGGCAAAGGTACACTGGGGACCACCATGTTCACGTGACATTAAGAGGAAGCGGAAACCTGTGGCCTCAGCATCTTTATCTAGCTCTAGTACAGGTATATACAGTTATCATTCATGGAGCACCTGTTGTGTACTAAACACTAAAGACGTGTTTATATACCTTCCCATGGAATCTTTGTGATAAGGGATCTTCATTCCTGTTTTACATGAGAAAATGGAGATGCTGAGAAGTAATTTTCCTAGTTCTCTCTGACAGTGGAGTCTGCTTTTTCATCCTGTCACTCGGCTTTTTATATCCTCTGTCGGCTGTTCTCAGTCATCTGGACCTTTGTCGTAGCCCAGACAGGAGGTGAAGTCCATGCTGATGAACATCCAGCTGGATAGCAGCTACTCAGTGCAGTGGTTACCTGGGTTCATTTACTTTCTCCTCTAAAAAATCATTTGTATGGACTAGAGATGGTGGCTCTCTTTGAGTTCAAGGCCAATCTGGTCTACAGAGTGAGTTCCAGGACAGCCAGGGCTACACAGAAACCCTGTCTCAAAAAACAAAACGAAAGGTAAATAAATAAAAATAAAATAATAATTTTTATTTTATTTTACATATATCAATGTTTTGCCTGCATGTATATCTGTAGACCATGTGTGTGCCTGGTGCCCATGGAGGCCAGAAAAAGGTATTGATTTTCTAGGACTATAGTTATAAACGATTATAAGCCATCATGTGGGTTGCTGGAAATAGAACCTGGGTCCTCTGGAAGAGCACTGACTCATCTCTCCAGCCCCTATTACTCCTCCTTCCCTCTTTTTCTCCCTCTCTCCCTTTCTCCCTCCCTCCTTCCCTCCCGCCCTGGTTATTTTGAGATAAGGTCTCATTATATAGCTCTGGCTGTCCTGAAACTCACTATGTAGATAGATTACAGACCAGACTGGGCTTCAACACACAGAGATCCATCCACCTCCGCCTACTAAGTGCTGGGATTAAAGGTGTGCGTCACTATACCTGGCTCTGTTTACTTTCTTAACTGATTTCTACAACAGTGTATTCTCACTAGTTATATAAAACAGCGTGTCCACTTTTACTCATCATGAAATGTCTAATTAAAAACATTTTCAGGTTAAACTTTTTTAGTTTCTATATAAAATTTATGCCAGTTCGTAGAAGCTAAAATAATGGCTATCTTTGGTAGGAGAGTGACCAAGAGAAGATGAGAAAAATCTGGGCATTGGAAATGTTCTACATCACAAACCAGGCAGGGATGACATGAGTGTTTATATATGTAAAAGGTTTTAAGCTGTACACTTAAGATGCAGGTATTTTATTACACATGCTATCAGAGATATTATATATCAAGGCTATTGTAAATTACTTTCCTTAGATAAACTATAGATTGACCATCTCTAATTTAAAAATCTAAAATCTGAAGCAATTCAAAATGTGAAACTTTTGAACACTGACATGCCCATGTAAGTAGAATTCTCTACCTGACTTTGTATGACGAGTTGCAGTCAGAAGCAAGCACAGTGTAATAGCATATGGCTGGCCTTTCAGCTGGGAGTGTAAGATATTGTGAAACAAACGGATCGAAACCCAAAGTGTTTCTGGACCCAAACATCCTGGCTAAAGCTTACGTACTCAGTGCTACATATTACATATTTCAGGTTAGCTGTTAGCCAAGTTAGAGAACAGACAAGTATGGACCCCACCCCTGACCTTCCCTGAGTGGCTTTTCGAATGCTCTGAAATGGACCTCTTTGAACTTCTGTCTGAGGTGACTGCTAATTGGTGGCTCATCCTGAATAATCTTAATCACAGCCCTAATGATTATTGTGAATTGTTATAGTGCTTTCCATCTGCATAGGCCCTGAGTGAGGTACTTTGCATACAGTAGTTCGTTTAACCTTGGCCTCAGCTCTTCAGGGTAGATACAGTTCTTATTCCCACTGATACATGAGCAAACTGAGGTGTAGGTCACCTTCTGAAGTCAAGTGTTAGTTACAGGGTCAGGTCAGATGTTTCCCTGATGCTCTGGATCTGCCCTTTGAACTCCCAGGTGTCCTTTGTGTGTACGGTAGGATTGATTATTCCAGACTGCGAAACCCAGCTCCTCAGCCAGTCTGTGCTACTTAAAGAATTAAAATGAAACCTTTTCTCTCAGCGTTTGTTCTTCTTTTCCCTCTCCTTGGTTCTATTTTTTGCTTTTAATTTTTTTTCCAGTTCTAGGGATCAAGCCTAGCCCTCGTGTCTATAGGCAAATGGTCTACTGCTGAGCTACAACCCCAGCCCCGCTTTAATGCTTTATGAGGACAGAACCATTGGGAAGAGTTGACTGCACATTCAAAGCAGGAAAGGTGTTTAGTGTATTGAAGAAGACATTAGCTGTACGTGGTTCCCACGGGAGCCCGCTCCTCTCCTCACTTGTTGACTAAGCCCTGCTTCACTGAGCACTTTCTTTTTTTTCTACTCACAACCTGAGTGCCCCGTGGAGGTGAAGGACACAGCCTGAGCCTGCGCCATCAGTCAGGAGAACAAATGGGCTTGCTCTACCTACCATCGGGCCATCTCCGATTCCACCTCTTTTATAGAAATGAGTGATGAAGAGAGGTGCGGCCCGCTTTGCCGCTGTATTAATACACATCAGGGGCCAGCTCCTGGCACTAAATCACACTACTGCATACATCTGTTATCAGCTCTTCACCAGTGTGATGAACAGGACTGCAGATAGAGGCTTCCTTGTGTCATTCTTTATAGGATTTTCCTAAAAGAATAAATAGCTCAGATCTCTGCCAACACTCTCCCCTGTCACTGTGATGAATTTAGCTTCTTTCTTAAGCATGCAGCTACAAATCTCTGCCCTTCCCCCACCGCTAGAAAGTTTGGAGTTGAAATTGACTGAATTTAAAGATCTTAGTAAGGCTAGAAGGGTGAAGGAAGGAAGAGACGCAGGGCTTCCTTGTGTTGTTTGTTTGTTTGTTTGGACAGTACAAAGGGCTGGGGAAAGGTCATTAAGTAGAACCTTCTTAAACTGTAGAACTGTTATTTTCTTGTTTTTGTCTCTGTTCCATTCCCTCCCTGGCTTTATAGCTTATGGAGGTTTAGTGGACAGTGCTGTTCCCTGGATCCGAGTGAGCAAGTGTGCAGACCTTTTCCAAGACTGGTACCCCAGGACAGGAGTTTGCCAGCAAGCCTATGCCACATACTGAAGTGACTAGCTGTATTAGGATCTTAAAGAATGTTACTGTGTGTGTGTGTGTGTGTGTGTGTGTGTGTGTGTGTGTGTGTGTGTGTGTGTGTGTGTCTGCTTTCTTCAAGACTTGAGACTAAGTGGCTGTAAGAAATGTAAGGCACTCAGGCTTACATTGAACCAGTGTCCTTGAAGTGATTTTATTCCTCAGAGCTTTGACATCCACTCCTCCTTCTGAAGGTAAACCTGGTTCGATTAGGGGGCACTGGGCCCTCTGGAGAGTCTGTTCAGAGCCTGCGTAGTTGGGCTGATCCTAAAGCATTTCCCCAGCCTGGGGTTCCTTCCGACCAGCATTCAGAAGCTGTGTAACACATGCTTTCGAGCACCGAGCCAGCCCGGCGTCCAGAAGGGTCGGAGTTTTTAATCTGTTGTTGACTGTGGTCTCCCAGCGTCCAAACAGACACCCGACACTAGAGCAGACACACTTCTGTTTTTGTTTGCATTGGCATTTATGAGAGTAATGGTTGTCACTATGACACCCGTACACTTAGATAATACTCTGATCATCCTCAATCTCCTGTTATCATCTACTGCTCTCCTCTCCCACTCATGCCCTCCTTTACCTCTAAGCACTCCCTTGACTTTTGTAGGTGGTTTTCTTAGTCATTATTGTAGCATATATAAAATACCTATAATTATGTATAACCTGTTGAGTCCATTTAGAGTTGCTCAGATGTACCAGCTTTAGGACTGATCGCTTGGTATTGGATAACCACTTAAGGGTCTCATCTGGGGGAGGCTGACTGTCCTTCTCTCAGCAGTCATTCATTTCCTGTAACTCCTCATCTAGGCTTGGGGCCTTTGTCTGACTTCCTCTGCCCATGTTGGCATGCCAGTTGGCATTGTCATTGTTCCGGTCTTGTTTAGGCAGCCATGTTGTTGGTATTTATGGGTGCAGCTTCCTTCTCTTCTCCAGAAGACGTAATCTCACAGCAGATGTCCTGCTCCTCTAGCTCGTGCTGTCCTCCCCACTTCCACCTTCCTGATAGTCTCGAAGCCTTCAATGTAGGGTTGTGTTGTACACAGTGATCACTACAAGATATCACCAGCAGTGCAGTAATGGTGCTTTTATCCTGGGAATAGCCAACAGCTATCTGATTGGTCTCAAGGCCTGGCCAATAGGAAGGAATTCATGCCTGGTCCTCTAAACCTAGACAACTACACGGATGGTGAGGCCACAGAGCCTAGAACAAACCTGCTGCTGCCATTGCCTTAATCCAATATCTCTAACTGCATACCTAATACTTACGCTTCCAGCCACAGAGAAGTGTGGCTCCCACCCAATGAGGCTGTGTTTTTCAGGTAGATGGAGACCAGTACGGTTTGTCAAAACTAACTGATGAGAATGTGAGAGAGCTGACCGTGGGGTGCCTCGCTCCAATCGATTAAATTAATATTACCTTAAAGTCGAAGCTGTTCTCCATATTATTCTAACCCCTTGGAAACTATCCAATTGCTACAAAAGAATATTGATAGTGGAGACATTTGGTGTAAAGAAAGCAATGCAGCTAGCAAGAAAATCTTCCCGCTCTGCTCAGCAGTAACAGGTTTCCTACTTTTTTGTTTTGTTTCAATCATTACTTTTGTTTTTTAAAGTAGTTTTAATAGATAGAGGTATCTCTAAAGAATATGTTGTCTGTGTTTTAATGTTTCTGAACCTTACACAAAAGAATTCATACTTTATAGGTTTCACCCGGTTCTGTTCCTGAGATTCATGGATGTTTTGTTGTGCAAAATCCCTTTGTTTCTGATGGCCGCACATGATATCCCATTGTATGAGGAGGCCTGTGCCACAGCTCAGTGATCGTGATTGGATTGGATTGCATCCTGTTTATACAGTGTGAAAAGCACTGTATTCTGGGCGAGGATGATGCAGCATTCTTCTGGGTTACTTCACACTCATTTGATGGTGGTCTCAGAGACCAGACAGTACTAGGCCTTGGCAAAGACATGATTGGAACCCTTGAACATTTCTGGTAAAATGTAAAATTGTACGTCCTTTAGAATACCATGGCAGTTTCTGAAGCCAACCATTATAAAAAGGCCATGATATCTATCTGCCAACTCTGCTCCTGGTTATATCACCTAAAGAATTAAAAGCAGAAATTTGAAAAAATTTAACATTATTATGATTTTATGTGTATAGCTGTTTTGCTTGCATGTATGTCTATGTGCCATGCGCATGCAGTGCCCACAGGAGCCAGAAGGTGTTGGATAACTCTGGAACTGGAGTTAATTAAGGTTGTACACTTCCATATGGGGGCTGGGGATTGAACCCAAGCTCTCTGCAAAAGCAGCCAGTTCTCTTAACTGCTGAGCCATCTCACCAGCCCCTAATGCAGGGGTTTTCCTATACTGATGTGCACAGCGACATTGGTCACAGTAGAACAGCCCGGTTGTCCATGGCCAGGCAAGTGAGCAACAAAGTACGGTTCTTTCCCACATGGAGTGTCACTCTGCTGAGCGTTCGGCACTCAGAATCTTGCTGTCTCAGATGAAGACACAGTGAGCGAGGCCGGCCAGCCACAGAAGAACAAACTGGATGATTCCATTTTACTGAGCTCCCTGGAATAGTAAAGTAATGAAAACAGAAGGCAGAGAGGTCCTCCAAGGTGGGGAGGGGAGGGGGTGGAGTTAGTGCCGGCAGTGCACGGAGCTTCCCTGGAGACGGCAGGGCCTTCCACCTCACCACTGTGCCTCGTGCTGTTGAGCAGTGCACTTGCAAAGGCGATGGGCAGTGAGCGTCCTAGAAAACCACAGCAAACAGTTTCTCAAGGGTAGACTGGCCGCTGAGGGCTTCTGACTGTAGTAAGGATAGGTATAGTTAGTTCTGTGAAGTCCTTTCAGTTCAACTTGAAGGAGTGCATGCGTGGGAGTGCGCAGGTCTTGTCAGATTTGTGTCGTGCTGCTGTGGTTGAGATACCAAAACATTTGAAAGCTCCTGTTTTAAGAAACTTAGATATAAGCTGTGGTAGAGTCATGTTTTTCAAGGATTTTTAATGTTAATTTACAGTACTTGAATATATTTGTGGATACAAGAGAAGATAGGATAAGAGTGCCTTTTTGTCTCCTGGGAGGTAGTTTTTGTTTGTTTAATACTGACCAAAAAGAAGTACTGGTTATGGCCACTAAATTTGTTTTTTGTGACCCAGTCACTATTAGAAAAATACTAAGGCTATATTATTGTGTAGAATTACTGGATGCAAAGGAACAATCTAAAATGTGCTGTATTTCACTATATCCCAGTCTGTTTTTAATCCTTGGCAGAGGAAATGGCAGTGAGGGTGGTTTGTCCTGATCCACTCTGGGGGACTTTGGAAAGGTGAAAAAGCGTTTGATGGCACCATGGTGGGATGCTGTTGGCATTCGGTGGACAGGGTTCAGGATGCTGAGGGTTCTGAGTACACAGCACAGCTCTGCACTGTCAACGATTATCCAGTCCAGAGGGTCTTAAGAAACTTCATTAAGATACCATGCTTGGTGCTGTTTATTTTCTGTCATTTTCCTTGTTGTACTTACTTATAACACAGCGTATTGAAGGTCAGGTGTAGCCCAGTATTTGAGCTTGAATTGCTACTTTCGATCTCTGTAGTTCACTTTGCTGATCCATAAAATGGACAGTGCCTATTTCTAAGGGTTGTTGTTAAAAAATGTAATCGTGTAGGTATAAGGGCACAGCGCTCGGGGCTAAGGCAAGAAGACCATGAGTTCGAAGCCAGCTTGGTCTATATTGTAAGACCTTATTTTTAGAAAGGAAAACACACACGTACATGGGGGGGGCATAGCAGAGGGAGAGGCAAGAGTGGGTTAGGGAGTCCCCAGTATGCCCTGTTTGGCAGCACAGTGCCTAGCCCATGTGCGTTCCGTGAGTGAAGTGTGCCTAGCCCATGTGTGTTCCGTGAGTGAAGTGTGCCTAGCCCATGTGCGTTCCATGAGTGAAGTGTTTCAGTTTTTCCTGTATCTCTTCCATTGAATTTATTCCTAGAAAAATGATTTGTAAATTTCATTTTTTGTTTGTTTTTTGAGACAGAGTTTCTTTGTAGCTTTGGAACCTGTCCTGTCAGTCTGTAGACCAGGCTGTAGCAGGAATCTTAAAAGTTCTTATTAATAAAATCAAACCCAAGGCCAGTTATTGGGGTTCATTCTGGTAGATCAGAGAGACAGAACAAGCCACAGCTATCTCACCTCGCCGGATCCTCATCTGGTCTTGTCTCCTCAGACTGGAGGCCTCTGAGTCCTCATCCGGAATGGGTCTCAGCTGAATT